CCCCCCCCCCCCCCCTTCCTGCCCCTTCTTTGAAACATGCGCTTGCGCCTTTCCCCTTCGTTTCTCTTCTCTTCTTTCCCGATCAAAGAGTCGCCTTCTGGCGGTTTGGGACTACCTGCGGTTCAAGATTCGCCCCTTCTGTGCCAGGTAAATCCACATTGTGCCTTGAAGATTAAAAATGCTGCTGCAATCTGTAGATTCTTGGTTTTATTTGCCAGCCTCTTTCGGATTAACATCTTCGTTCTACTGGCATGTGTTTGGGAATATACAAGCAATTACCAGTTGTTATTATTATAAAAAGTTTTGGCTAAAATCTTCGACATTATCCATCGTCTGTTGCTTCTCATAACACGACGTTTCGGGGATCGATCTGTCTCTGTCATCAGGTAAAGGGGGGGGGGGGCAAAAGTGTTCCTACTCTGTGGGATCCCTTAGAAAGAGCTCGTTTCTATCCCTATCCGCCCTTATTTTACGTGATGACGGAGACAGACCCAGTCACCGAAACGTCGTGTTATAAGAAACAACAGATGATAATGTCCAAGATTTTAGTCAAAAGTATTAGAGTATACCATCCTCTACAATTATCTTATCTTTATTCAAAGCATAACCTCTCTTCGTTTTTAACATGTTAATTAAATACGCTCCTTCTCAAATAATTCTAACAAGCTACATCTGAAGAAACTACAGTCTTCTGTGTGTGTAAAACCATTATAGTTTAAGCAGTCTGTAACAGTCACTACAACATTACTTTTCTTTCTGTATCCTCGGGACCTGATAAGAGAGAATAACACAGGTGGCGATCACCCGAAAGGTCGTGGATCTTGACGAGAGTCAGGAGTGCAAGAGGACTTAGGCTGCTTCTGTATGCAGCACAGTTGTACAGGTTGAGTTCTAACCGCACGACATGCATCGATCTCCGTCTCTCTCGCTTGTGTTGTGTTCTCAAGTCGGATAGAATGAAAGTTCGATGCAAATGAGGCCAAGTAGCCACACCACACAACATGTTAAAAAGTAGCTGGGAGTCGTCCTGCAGGCTTCACGAGTGGAACTATGCGCTCCAGTTTAGAGTACACACCGTCCCGAAATACGTTCTCTGCTACTCTGGGTCTCTGGACGTTTATTTGTGACAGATGAGTTATGACCACGGCTTTATTTTCGAACAGAAGTTATCAATATCAGTTAAGATAAGGCCTGTCTGACAGGTTTGTACATTTCAATTGTATAAATTTGTAGCGTGTACGATAATTTTTATTGTCAGATATAACATCAAAGATATGGACCCTCGCCATGTTCGAAATTTTTAAGGTATGCCTACACTAGTCTAACTTCTATTTTATTCAAGAAGGAAACAATACACAGAACGATCAATAGATCTACCGATAGATCGATAGCCCTGCAAATAGATCAAATGGGGGGGGGGATGGGCAGACAGATATCGAGACGAAAAATACGGAAAACTAAATTTTCGGATGTTCACGTAATTGTCAGGCTAACTGTACTTTAATTCGTAGAATATTGGTCCAGTGCAATCATATAAAGCTAAAATGGAACGTGATCCCGTTTCTGATGTCTTCCAGTTAATACAAGACCTGAAGATTTCTGTCTTCTGGGATGTTGCACCGTGTAGCCTTTTAGAAGATCACTGACGTAAGATTTGAGGTTTTCACAGCGGTGATCTAGAAGATTTCTGTCTTCTGGGTTGTTGCGTTGTGTAGTATGTTAGATGTTTACCAACGTTTCAGAGGTCATACTGCCTCCGTCATCAAGGCAGGTCACTAGACCAAGACCCGGGACCTCATGTACCATCAATATTAATATGATTCTCATCCCAATGATGGCGAACGTCAATTATTTTTTCCATACTCACCAAATGACTCGCGTTTAGATCATACTTCAGTCTAAGGAACTTCTTGAGGTGCCCGATTCTGACCAGGGCAGGGCACTGGAGGTACCGCTTTATGACTGCTACCTGTTCAAAGACACAGACAAACATACGAATATTTAACAAAACTTAATTCAGCTTCCTCTTAAAAGTAAAGGTCACAACACTACCACCCTTCAGCTACGATACGTCGTTAATGGTGGCCAGAGTCACAAAGTCAAATTATAAAATTAATGTGTGAGAGTTTCACAGGCCTTACATGGGCTAAAGATAAAGCTAGCTAACAGGACGCAACTGTGAACAGGTTCATGAGAATTTGGGTCTACCTACCTCAGAGGAATTGGAGTCGCTGACAGAACTTCGGCTGGACGCACAACCCAAGTCCTCTTCATCCCTGAAACAACAGAGAAACAGTTCTAGTGGAGAAATAGAAGGAGTAGTTCAGTAATCATGTTCAGGGACAGACGTGGTCAGTTACTTTTACTCGGGGTCGAATGGGGAGTTTCGAAGTAGCTGGAAAACCTGGCGAGGAAAATTCTGCGATTACAAACTATTAAATAGCTATCAATTACTCGAACTGACTGAAAATACTTCACACGCAGATCAAAAAAAAAAAAAAATAATAATAATAATGATATTTAATAGTCAACACTTAAGCACCTACATAAGCCTGGAAAGTTGTGGTAGTTAGCGACTTAATTTAGTACATACATAAAAATAAATCTTATTTTTAATTAAAAGTTCATTTTCAGCAGACGTATGGGCCCAAATTTTTAACAAGAACTGAAAAGCTTACTCTTTTGGAGAACACTAAAATTCTATAGGTGTTTCTTCACGCTATAATTATAGGCGATGACGTCAGCAAAGTAAAAGAATAAAAAGTACAACAATTGTATCAAAGGAACTCACTGTTGAGACTGTAATCCAACAATGAAAGAGATTCATATTATTTTAACGATGTACTCTAGCAATGTGGTTAAAGACGCGACAGACAGACAGGCATAAAAAGGCTCGTAAGATGGTGTTTTGCTTCACTCGAGAGCGAAGAACTCCTAAAAGATCAGTCCCAATAAAATTAATTAAGAAATGGAGGAAAACAGTAATTTCCATTTTAAATGTGGGTTATTTCGACTTCATCTTCATTTGCGGGTACAGGAAAAAATAATAGTGATTTACCCTTTAGGCTAAGCTGAGGGTAAGCCCTTTCTCGGCGAAGTTAATTTTGTAAAGTTAGGAACACTTCCAAAAAACTGAAAATTTTGCAGTCGTGTAGTTATGTTTTCTGCACAGGCATGTCTGTTGCCTGTCCTGGGACTGTACGCATGACGAGACTAACATTTTCGGTCTTTGATTTGGTTAAAAGCCTCGTTAAAATTCTTGAATCCGAAGGCGGATTTTTATGAGAAAAAAAACTGTTTTTAAAACGAGCGTGAATAAAAATGATCGGTATTGCGGAACAGAACGGAATTACTGGGGTGAAACAAAAAATAAAAAGAAAGAAAAGAGAGGAATAATACTCAGCAAGCTCATCGGTCATTTGCTGAGCATCAGGAGACAAACATAATCCAGAGCCAGATGAGGTTGAATCAACAACGCGTTTTCACGTCGACATATAAGAAAATTATATCTGTAGACTGTCTGGTTATTTTAAAAGCGTTTGTCGTTTTCATTCAACGGTACATTATACTCTGGTTCTCCTGAAACTTCGGCTTTCATTGATGACGAATACAGATCGACCATCTAGCGACCTTGCACCGGAAACTTGACACGCACCTAGGTCGAAACATAATAAGAAGCGAGGCTCATCAAGTTTCTTGCGAGCTACGCCCAAAAACTCTGCTAATAATGAGAAAAACACCGTTTTATGTGACAACACCGCGTTGCTAAGTGATCCCATGAAACAGTGACGAAAACAGAAAGAGTTTGTCAACGAAACGCAATGAACTAAACAAAGCTAGAAACTGTAGGATTTGTGGTTTTCACGGTGGTGGGAACGAAGGTGGTTGTCTTCTGGGTTGTAGCGTCTTGTAGCCTGGTAGAAAGGGCCTTGTTGTCTCCCTGATGATGAAGGCAGCAAGGACTTTTAAACGTCGGTCAATTTCTACCAGACTACACGGCGCTACAATCCAGAAGACGGCCATCTAAGAATCTGTAAACGGAGAACACTGTTCGACCAGGTTATGTATGAGGTGCATAATCGTCACTTTTTATGCGTATCTCCTGAGACGTGCACCTGACTGCTTTAACATATAAAAAAACAATGAATTTGGAGAAATTATATAGTATTCCCTTCTGGATACAACAAAAACCACCTTCACCCTCAAATAAAAAGGGGGTGAGGTGGATTCGACGCACCTTGAACGATTCGAAGTAGAGAAAACTTACGAAAAGCAAAGGAAGGGTAGATTCACGATAAACATCGTTCCCTATGTATGGCCCTGATGTTGTAGGCATAGAGGACCTCTGAAATGCTACGATATTACATGGCACATCAACCATCATCAGGACCCTGGTGATGGAGGCTGCAAGAACTTCTAAAACATCAGTAAACTTCTACCAGACTACACCGTGCAACAACCAAGACGACAGTCATCTTAAAACCCACCATAGTTTTTAAAACTATTGTACTAACACTGGTAACAAAACTCCTATCCGAAGATTAAAGAATGATTAATAAAAGCTTAATAACAAAGGAATTATAATTCATGCGCTAAAACATGTATGTCTGAGTTTTTACGTTATCAAACACCTTTCGAAAGGAAAAGTTTTCATGTTGAAACAATAGTTTAAAAGAAGTTTTAAACTTATGTTCTAAGGCAAATTTTCAACAAAACCACTTTGTAAAATTCGAAATACCACGCTACGATTTTACAATATTAATTAACGTGAAAAATTCTTTGTCACTCGAAATGACTTAACTTAAATTCCGGAAGTTGGCTCTACTGCCGTTTTCAAATGGTCTTCTGTCAACTAGCACGTGCAATGAATCAACCTCTGTCACGGACATTTCGAAAATCTTGCTAATACGAAGAGAGAGGCACACATTCCACGTAATTTAATTCCATTTACATTGCGGACTGCATGGGGCATGCTCTATATCTATTACAAATACCGCGTGTAATAAATCTCGAAATACGTTTTTCGAGTATTGTTCAAGTACCATGAGTCGCTCTTGCCTTGGGATATAAAATATCGACCGAATGCTGAGAGGGGTTCGAGTAGCCATGGCAACGTTGTTGATCTGTTCTCGCAGTACAGCTCTCTGCAACACAATTGCAAAGGGCTTGCACCTGTTGAACCGCTAATTCTTCTCCAAATTAATTAAACTACATATTTCTATAAAAAGCGCAAGTAGATTAAAAAATAAATAGAATAAACTTTAAAACGGGCGAACAAATTGGATTATTCCATAAAAATAAGAATATTATTAAATTTATAACAATAGCCACAGGGTGTTTAAAATAAATATTACATAGTGTATTAAAAATTTATTTTCTCGTAGTTTAGAATTACAAATATTGAATCCTACGGAATTTGTGAAGTGGTAGCAACACCATCAGCTTATAAGGTCGCTTACATGGTTCTGAAATAACATATAAGCATATTTGAAATTAATTAGAAACAGGAAGGCATCATTTGCTTATAATTCCATTTTACATATTAAACGACGTGTAGTTAATACGACATCCAACTTATCAGCGTGATGACCCATATTTTTTAATTTACATTTCAGCTTCATGCAGCTTACAGGCTCTATTGGGCGAAACAATATCTGCCAAACAACGTCTGGTGAACGCCACTGACGTCAGTTCAAAAGTTAAAAGACGAAACACTCAGCTGAAGAGGTGGGCAGATATGACGCTCCGATCATGCGATCGATTTAGGCGCTTCGTGGGAAGACTACTAAAAATCACGTGATTTTAAGTGTAAGTCCAACACCTATATTAGAAACAGGTACCACAAATCAACGTTAAAATCAAGACGAAAATAATAATTCGTGAACAAGGCAGATCTGGTTTCAGAAGAGGGAATCGAAAATGCGATTGGAAGCCAGCTTTCCATCAGGATTCTCACGAATGACCACGCCGATCACCGGACCTAAATCTCTCAAGCACAACTTACATCGCGTATAACAGTCAGCAAGACGTACAGCGTTGAGTATTTCGACTGAAAATGTCGGACAGAATTAAAGCGAAGAAAGAAAGACTTCCTTTAGAATTTTCATCTCTTTTTAGTCCTCGATAACCATCCGGATTTTGAGAATATTTCCATGTAGGTCATGCTAGCCAGTTGGTTAATTCCTCCTAACTGTAGATAAAGATTTGCATTTGATTCGTCTCGATGGAGTTCTTCTTACTCTTTTCTTCTTCATCATCATCATCATCTCTTTTTTAGAAACAAAAAAAGGAAAATATACAAGCAGAAATACGAAACAATTACGCGAACTGTGTGCAGAAGTTTCGAAGTGTTAATACTTGTCGACGCACTTACCCGTCAAGGTACTCAAGCGAGAGACTGATGCTGTCCTCAGGGGAGTAAATGAGTCGCTCGACGCCGACCCCGCGTCCCTCGGGCGTCGTCTCGTGAGCTGCAACAACACATACAAACCCTCAGTGTCACAGACATCCAAACTCCGGAACGGCAGTGTTTATTTCCCTGGATTCTTCCGTCTATTACATTACTGTCCTAGACATGTGCGTCAACGCCCCTCGCAAAATAATTCGCGATCTCTGACTCCGATAAAGTTAAGGTATCTTCTGTCAGGTAGACTGTTATCGATGTTTCAAAAGTGTTTTTGCCTCCATCATCAAGGTGATCGCCCTTATGACGACAGCAAACATTTATTCTTGTTATTCTTTGTTGTACTGGGTTCGGACAAGGTAGGTAAGCATTCAAAATATGTTTCAAATAAAACTGACGGACCCAAATGTGACTGATCTTTTATACTATGAAGTATCAACGACTAGAAGCAGCTGTTAATAAATTTTAACTACATGTAAATTTCAAGTTACGAATTTCGTCAGACAGCTTTCCAAAATTTCATCGAAGAAATGTTACGCAGATAATTATACGCTTACACATGGAGGTCTACAATATACTAAGATACGCACGCACGCACTTTACACACTCACCGCGATCCTGATGTTTCTCGTAGAAATCCCTCCGCCGTCTCATCTCGGCGTGGAAGAGACCGGGCACCAGTTTGTACACGATGTCTTGCAGAGCCTTGTCCGGCCTGCAATGTGAATGGATCATAACGATATACAAATACGTAGAGTTTCGCAAACTGTCTACAGGGACTGAGGAGAACCTAGAAGAATAGCTAGTGTTCAGACAGAGACTTAAACCGGGTGGAACCTACACCAGCGTCACTTAAAATAAGATCCTGATATTTGGTAATATCATAAAAAATTTAAACTTTCGTTAAGATGATTTGTGTAGAATTTAAAAGAAGAAAAATTACTTTCGTGTAATCAATTTATACGTAACTTTCCGCTATATAGCGATAATTATTAAACCATTTTTAAATACATTTTAGAATTACAAACATGGCGATGGAGTCAAATTGTGACGTTATAATTGAGTGTTTTTTTAAAGTGTGCACAGAAATGTGCCACTGACATGTAGTATCAATGCAGATGAACTTTGCCTCGATCTTCATGTGACAGCAATAATAAAACCCTGCAGCTAAAGACGTAGTATTTGGCACAGTTACTCGACAGCTCACAAAAGTACGTACAGGACTGATATGAAGGCGATTTAGTGTGAAAATTTCCAAATATGGCAGCGATGCGAAAGTTTGAGGTTATGTCCAGAAAAATTATATTTGATTCACATAAATTATACAGACTTAAATAATGCAAACAAACAGAACATGCTCGTGTAATTGTTAATTTATAGTCTACTTCCTGTTAGTCTAGCTAGAAGACTTTTAGAAGAAGCAAGCTTCTTAAACTTTTCTTTAAAAATTCTTGTTATCGACAATACTCACTTGATACTGAGGAACAGCTTTGCTTTGTGAATCTGTACGTCACAGATGGGGCAGTAACTGTTACTCTCCAGGTACTTGATGAGGCAGCCCCTGCAAACTAGAGAGAAAAGAAAACATCGTAAGGCACGAAGCTAAAATTGGAGTAACACTACGAAAAACGTCAAAATGTTTAATCGTAGGGAAGTCAAAGTGACATATGTCCTTTTATAAAAGCAGATTCCTTCAGAGTCGTTAGTTAAACAAAAATAAACGTGCTGATTTAAAAGCAATAATCAGTGACTACTAAAGACGGGACTTACAATAATTTACAAACTACAAGTATGCTGTGCGTGTATTTATTACAGTAATTTCTAGACTCCCCAACCCACTTGAAATAGCAAGAAGCTCGCGCGATATTTAGTACTCATTGGGGGGGGGGTGATGCAAAACGCACACAAGATTTTTATAGGAATAGCGTACCTGTAAGGGATGAGACCACACATCCGAGGTAGATGTACATAGGAGAATAATAATAAAAAATTGATTTTAGAGCAATAGGTTCTGAAGCTGTCGAATGGATTCAGCTGGCTTGGGACAGAGTCAAATGGTGGGATCTTGTGGTCACGGTAATAAACCTACGAGTTATATAAAACAGATTTCTTGAAGATGAATAACTTCTGGGCTAATGCGCGGTGTAGTCTGGAAGAAGTTTATCGACGTTTCAGAGGTGCTTGCTGCCGCTAAATCAGAGCGATGATGGAGGCAGTAAGAACCTCTGATACGTCGGTCAATTTCTACCAGACTACACGGCACAACATCCGATAAGACAGCCATCTTCATAATCGTCGACGTGAGAACATAAAATCTCACAGAAATGTCTTCAGTAAATGTCAGCTTTTCAGGAAAATTCCTGTACCAATGAGTTCTTTATTATAACTAACATTCAATTAATTTGAAAATCACGGTAAGTCTACTGATTAAAACACATCTTTGACACAGTACAAGAACCAAAACTGTCTGTACGAGGAATTGCTAACAGGACTAGTGCAGAGTCATTATCGGGGATCCCCGGTCGTCCAGTCCGTATTCATTAGTTGTAGCAGAAATTAATTATGCATTCCGAAAGAGGAATGTTTATTTCTCATACGCGTTAAGGAAATAAATCGTCAGATGAATGCTCGTAAAACGGGAAGGTGTGATTAGTGTAGAAAACAACTTGTAGCCATTAGAGGGAGGCACATGTGGGCCCTAAACAACGATAAATGAAAGTATATTAACAGCCATGCAAATAAGTCTATTTATAGACACAAATGTTTCTTAAGGCTTGTGTCAGTGGTGTTCCAACTGCACAGGCCTTTCGGGATTTAACAAAGAAATGCTGTAGTGATTTTGCGCAGTAACTGTCACAATTTTGGGAGTGGTGAGTGTTATGTCACGTGATAACATGACTCGACAGTTTTGAGTCAACCGGTCCTTAGGATTAAATCTGTTTTGTGGCTGAAGTAAGTAAGTGTTACTTTTGCTTGTCATAAACATGAGAAAATCTTTCAGCATCAAAAATTGTTTTACACGAGGCCAACTTTTTGGCTTTTAAAAATAGTGACTTGTGATGGGACTCGGACCAGAGTCGTCAAGAACAAAACGCTCAAGTCGACTATTGAAAAGTCGAGTCTCAGCGATAAAAAGAATTGCGAATGCGCCGATTATTTGGTAGCAAAGGAATTACCCATTATAATTATATGGTGGCGGTAGTGCGCATGGCAAGATAAGAAATGAGTGCAAAATTTTGATTGGATAGCCTGATGGGACGAGCATCGCCTGACTTGGCCTCGTGTAACTTCTCGACGTTTCGAAAACGATAAATCTCTGCTTGAAAGGTTCTCAGTTTCAATCATTTGAAGATATATAGGCTATTGAGACTAGTTTTATTCCTTTCAGGACTTCCGTAAAATGGTTTCCACCAATATTTCCAGACAACATAGACATCAGAATGCGTGTATAAAATCAGAAGGCTAGAATTTTGAAGGTGAACCACACTCACGAACAAATCGTACCACTATAGGCTACATGGCAGATTTCCAGACACAAAATCAGGATAGTTGTTTAAGAGACCTTGCAGGTTAAACAGCGCCAACTGAGGTGTAAACATAATCATGAATGATGAGGAAATCGGAATTTTTCCAAAGGTAATGAACTATTTCAAGGTTGGTCTAATATCCTAGCATTCGCCTCGACAGGCTGACGAAAAGGATGAAAAACCTCAGCCAAGAAAGCGTAACAAGAGTTGGTATGTTGTCGTAAAACAAATAAAAGCAGCAAAACCTCGGAAACTTTGAATGAGGGCTTCATTCTTTATCTGGAGATGGCTTGATACAAATCAAATGATTTATTATGCTTCCTGAACCATCAATACGTAGGTCCATATGCAAGCACCTATTATATATATTTTTTTAAATTAAAAGTCCTCGGAACTCGTTGAGTACTACTAGCCAGTGCAGATACGCGACAATTTTAGCTACTCTAAACATCTGTATAAAATTAAATAGTTTTAAAATAAATTATTCAAACATGTATCACTAATATTTCGCGTGAATGTACTATGCCTGTTTCTTGACAGGCCATGTAAAGAAGAGATTGTCTTCTGGGATGTTGCGGTGTCGCCCTGATGAAGGAGGCAGTAAGCACCTCTGAAACGTAGGTCAATTTCTACCAGGCTACACCGCGCGTCATCCCAGAAGATAGCCATCTTCACACTCGTCGCCGCGAGAAGCTAAAATAAGACTGCAAAATTTTCCAATTAATTCCGGTGACCTTCTGCAGCCGTCAAACGACTTCCGAATTGGCGCATGTCTCAGAGTCTTCAAAAGTATGTCAATGGGTTAAGATATCAACATGGAAGTTTGCAAGAGATTTTCTCTAATGCCTATTGTCCGACTCAATGCCACTTCTATCTCGTCCCAGAGCTGGCGATTTGGCCGTGAGCTACTGTCCTTAGTGAACTAACGCCATGTTGAAAAGTAGGCAGCTACTCGGTTGGTCAGAGAGTTTCCTGCTTTTATGGAATCTCAAGGTCCGTAACCGGGTTAAAGTCCACCAAGGGACACTGTCTTGAACCAAATGAATCCAGTTCCCACACCATTTACACCGAACTTTTTAAATTAGTCTCTTTCCTTGCTGCTTCCCGACCAAAATTTTGTATGCAATTCTAATTTTCCCCATGCGTGCTACATGTGTTGATCATCTCAACTTCCTTCACTTAATTATCCCACCAACAGACTAGTAAAGAGGGCAGATTTTGACAAAATTCATTGTGAAATTTTCTCTATTGCTCTGATACTTCCTGTTTTGCAGGTCCATATTCTCAACACTTTCTTCCCTAATATCTTCTATTTATATTCTTCCCTGATACTACGACAGCGTCGTTAAACAAACCACAAATAAATAACACGCTCTTTAAATGGATATGCAGTGATCAGTATAACATGAGCTTTGGAGCTAACAGACACAAGAGGGAAGTAAAATAATTCTTTTCGATTCAGTTACAGGGCTTACAAAATCTGACATTTTAACTACTTGGAGAGTGAAACTTTTATGTCTAACCAATTTATAACAAGCATCACTAAAACAGCGCTATCAAAGGACGTGCCGGAAAATAAAGAGTTACATACGTAACAAAAGAGATTGATTCTGAGCTCTCTAAACTGAGCTTTTAAAAAAATAAATACGTTGTATATTTTCTAGTGATAAGTAAATAGTAAACTGTCAAGTATGTGTAAGGAAGCAGCTGTGATCTATTTATTTCATGCTACTATCCCATCATTCGTGTGAATGAAATAAAAAAGCATCAATCAGGATACCCAGCCTCTGGGCCGAGATATGAACTACGTACAAACCAAAACATGGCCGCGACGTTAGAAAATCGAGCAGAGTTTCGAAGTGAAACTTGTGGTTAAATGTGTTATCCAGCTCCTAGATAAGTAGTAGGTTTATTGTCGGCCTCCTCACACCCTTCATCGTGTGAGTTACAAATGCATTTCTGTTGTAGCATTCTATAAGCCAAGAAGTTCCTCGCTAGGTAATATCCTCCATTTCCTATTCGTCTTTGGTTAGCCTACAAATATTTTCTCGAGCACTTACACAGCGGGATAATTACGTCCCACATAACGCGCATTGCAAACAACTTGCTTTCAGCTTATGCTAATGAGCCATTACCTAGCTGAATTAGATGACTTGACAGGTTTGCTCAGGAAATAACGTGTCTGACTGTAAGTCTGCAACTACCAGATTCGAAGCTGGAACGCAATACAGAAAATTGTACAAGCCTGCAGATCTCCATTCTACATCCAGCCACTTTACTGTTTCAGTTATAATCAGCTTAATTACGCTTCAGACTGTCTTTGATAGAGGAGAAAGATGCACCCACGTTGCGTTCTACTGCAGCTGCCCATTGTTTGAATGAATATTTTGTAGTCGTGGCAATTAGCGTTGGGGTTGTGTGCAGAATGTGGTAGAGGGTTGAGGATTACGATAGGGGTGGCAAGGGCAGACTGAGTCTCGCAGTCCCGCACAGCGTGAGATAAAACCACTGCCACTGGGGCGTGTGTGGAGAAAGATCAAACGCAATTTCGTCAGAATATCACGTTTTATTCTCCATTATACTTCCTTCCTTTCTCCCTTCTTTCCAGAGATTTTCAAGCTGACGAGTGTAATTCCAAAACTACCTCCATCCATTTCTTGCGTTTTCCGGCTAAAGTTACAATAATGTCATCCTAGTTTACTAACCTGTTTCAGAAAGTGTTTTCGTAAATCTTTTATAAATGGACTAAGCGAAATTTATGCAAATACGTACGTCAACTGTGGCTCGTAAAACATTAAATGTATGGTTCTTCTTAGTTTTCCTTCATTTTTTTATCCACAGTCTCTTCTATCTTAAAACAGCTACCCATTTTTAACTTTATATTCTATTCATTTGCTGTTCTAATCATTTTTGGTAGTTCATGCTATTCTGTTAAATATTTTATATGAATTATATATTACAAAATGTATACGAATTTGAAAGCATAATAACGCACACACACAGACATCGCTTATTCATACATTTTCATGCCTGCACATATTACAAAAAAACATGCGTATGCTTACATGTAACTATTATAATTGGCCTACATGATTCGGTGTGCTTTGAGATATTTTGCAAATATGCCTCCACTTGGACAAAGCTTCAGAAACGCATACATATATATTCATACACGCTGCAGGTCTCTCTGAACAAGGGATGAGACCAAAAAGGACCCCTACAATAGACTACCATCAAAACACAGATACGAGAAAGCTGTCGTTGTGTCTAGGAATCACTCCATAGGGACAAACTAGGCGCCTGGATGCAACGTCCCACTTATTCCGCAACTCGAAACAAGGAGGAAGTGAACCAAACTCTCACAACGACGACTTCACCCCAGGTACACACTGAATAGGGCAACAGAGCCCCAAAACCAGTCTGGATAATGTGACGGAGAGAAAAATATGTCTCCTGCCGGAAACTGAACCCCGGTTGTCCAGGTCGTAGCCAGCCACATACATAAACTACAGACAGACGCCTTCATCGGAATCTTAACACGCAATACCGATAAACATGATGGTGGTGGTGGTGGTGGGGGTGGGGGTGGGAGTGGTAAATCGAGCCCTTTTCAAAACGTGCAGTTACTGATATCAGAGTTTTGACATAACGATTCTTAGATTTCACGTCGCTGTTTCAACTGAAGAGATTATACAGCACTGAATAATACCGGAAGTAATAGATTAGACAAGGATTTAGAAGGAAACGGTTGTGTCTACACTGACCAAATTCAAGGAATTGAAGACTAGAGAAAAGTAAAGCGATTGTTATAGTACATACTAAAAAGGCGAATATTTTAGGGACTGTAAAAATCTGGAGCCAGAGGAGAGACAGTCTGCACGAGACCGGGCCTGGAAGCATAGATAATGTTCTGGCCCAGGCCGAGTTCAAATGCCAGCCATCAAAATTATATAATTTCGGGCTTTCTCGGATCATCATTCTATTTGTTTTACATAGAAAACGTTATTCGCAATTGCTATCACCTTACGCTCGTGAGTCGAGCTCCGGGAACAAATCCCACTGACTTGGATCTTCTCGGGGATTTTCGTAGCTGTCCCCCCCCCCCACACACACACAAATAATAGCTCGTGTTAACACCTTACAGCCTTGGAATCCCACATATTTCTACCTTTCCCAAA